TAAATCATAAAAATAAACTATTTGACGTAAAATTATTTTTAGTACTATACATTTTCTATAAACCTGATCTACAAATTTTCAAATAATTTAAGTTAGTTTTTTWAAAAATTTTAAGTGTAAATAAAAAATGTATATTATACTGTCATAACTGCGTAGTTCATATACTTTTTTTCCTGTTTAAATCAACTGCAAAGGAGGATCTGTCTGAACATTACTGCTCCTCTGCTGCCATCGTTTATTAATTTTTAATACAAAATACAAACACATTTCATACAATAGTTGCTTCACCTTACAAAGTAAATAAATATTACAATTATAACATTTTGGCTCAGTCAAATACCGGAGCGGCAGCCAGTTCGTTAGCTCATGATTTCGCCTTGGYTATCCTTTCACCTTGCTTTTTGCAGCTTAGRATGCTGTCTACCATGTCGTAGAAGGACTGAGTGGTGTGTTGAGAGGCAGCCTATGTAGTTCATATACTTGAAACAACTTGATAGCAAACTGCATATGTGACCATATAACACATGGGGAATGCTTACAAAATACTTTAATAAATAAGATATCTCCTACTTCTACAGCTATAAATATTTATATATGGGTAGTGACTTCAATAATATCCTGTATTCTTGCTAGTTGTTTTATACATCTATGATAATTGATTTAATGAGTAGTACTCAAGTCTATAAATTATTAAAAATCAAAAATTTGGATTAGAACAAAATAAATTATTTCATTTGGAAGGTTGTTCTATTATGGCCTTATGTATATAAAAATATATATGTAACATATGTTGAGATAAATAGAAATTTATCATGTATGGAAAATGGACATATAAACATTTGATGAAAATTTCATATAATTACGTTTTTTCCATTTTGAGTTATACCAAAAAAACCAAAATCAAATTTGTCTTAAAACTGGTTTTGCGTAAAAATATCCGTATTTCATTAATTAGTTTTATTTCACGAAAGTTTTGGAAACTACTTACTACTAGGCATTTTTTACTTTTGTCTCTTAACTCTCTCCCCACCAATTTCTAACTATATTTAATTTTCTACTAGATTAAAATGCTTAAGTAGAAAATTAAAKAATTTTTACTGCTCAAAAAAAATTTAAAAAGTAATACATTCATCGCCCTGATCAAATATTTTTTTTTTCAAAATGACCGCCAAAAATATGATCATGATAAATAATGTGGAATATCCTTGTAGTTTAATATGATTGGTTTAGAATGTCAAATCAATGTTAACATATGATTACTCATTGCATCACTTAAAAAATAATAATAACGTTTATCAGTATTTCTATAATGAATCATTTAGATTTAGAACAGAATTTGTTTTTAGATTGGCAATTAAGAATTTTTATATATTTAAGTAATTAAGTCGCATGTTTCTAACTTTTATTGTTTAAAATTTATTACATACATTGTGCGTTGATATAAGCCGGTGTATGTATTTTCACCCAACCAGCTTTTATTTTTACATATTATAAAGTGTAATAAAATAATGGAGAAAGATGATGAAAAGTTCTTTTATGAAGATGAAGTGGCCATGGTATCTTCAAAAACGGGTCTAGTCAAGTATGGTTTGGTTTTAACGACGAACAGATCACGATCAGAAACAGAGCTGAAAAAGAGCTCATATAAAAATCATAATGAGATCAAAGTGATCTGGCATCCAAATGGGACTGAAGAAATTATCTCAGATGATAAAGTATGTTGTTTATCTATCGACAGGTTAAATGTTTTTAAGTATAGCCTTAATTGTGTTTAACTTCCTAGGTTGTGTTAATGGATCGATCATTAATGCCTGGAGATGTAGTACGTAAAGTTAGTGAAGGCAAACCAAGTCAATTTGGATATTGTGAAAATATTGATATATACGCCACAGTTAAAATTCTTAATACCAACAAAATAATAGAAAATATCAATTCCCGAAACTTTACTCACACAAAAGTATGTAGTTATTTAATATTATAAGTATAAAGCAATTATATGTATAAAAATAAATTTATGTTCTTTTAATTTTTATACATTATTTTGCTTTAAAAATAATTTTTTTTATTATTAGACTAAAGCTGGGTTCCCGCGACTACTGATTTTGATGAATTATAGTTCAACCACAGAATTATTATTATTAATAATTATTCTGTGGTTCAGCTATTATAATTTGTCAAAAATACATCATTATTTTAGTATATAATTCCCAGTCTTCATCTTTTTTACGATTATATAATATATTTCTTTGACTAATGTCACTTTACTAACAATCCATTATAAAATCAGCAAATAACAAATACCAAGTACCTACTGAATAGTCTGAATATTTGTACAATTATTTGCACTACATGGCAAATATTATGTATACAAGTCGTAGGAACCATCTATTAAGACTCAATCTTCTTTCATAGCTTTTTTCTACTGATTATCTTTTTAAGATTCTGAACGAAGTGATGAATGTATTGRTTTTACTCTGATGTGTGTTTTTTTTTGTCTGCATACAGTATAACTAGTCGAAATAATGCTTCAATTTCAAACTTTGGGGGTATTTTTCGATGGAAAAGTGAATATCCTTGGTGCATTATAAAGGTCAAAAGTTAACATTTTCCAACAGTTTTCAAAAAAATCGAGAAAAAAAAAATGACAGAAAAACGGGAATTTTTACGCAAAACCAGTTTTC